AAAAATGCAATATTATGAAAATTATATTTTTTTGGATTTTTATACATTAAAGAAAATATTAATATATTAAAATGAAAATAAAAGTATATATAAAAAAAAAGTTGGGCAAAGGGGGTGCTATAGAAAAAATGGCAGTAGTGTGTTAGTAAAAAAACTATGGCCCAAAGAACAAAGCCCAAACCTGCAAAAGATCACAAAAACTGAAAAAATGGCAAAAGTGTGAAAAACAAAAGTAGCGCCCAGGTTCGAACCCAGGACATGGGTCTCACCAACGCGCTACTTTGCCACTGGGGTGGCTATACATCCATTGTCTTAAGGAAAGCAAAAATAATATAACATGAAATAAGTCCTTGCCTTGTACTTCATCTTCTTCCTCGAGCTTGGCCAGACATCCTGTAACTCTCTCATTCTTCCATAAAAATGAAAACTCATAACATGAAAGTTGTAGTATTTGATCACACGATTCTAACCATATAAGTTATGTGAGCTAACAATCAAAGATCAAAGAGAATTTTAACAGCCCTAAATTTAAACCTAATATTTTCATAAACTTCAAGTTCCAAATTCTCTCAACTCAAGTAAAATAAATGCAAGATAAAGATATGTACAGTTTCGTTGCAATGAGTACTACATTATTTATTCACAAATTGTGGCCAATGGTTTCCTGTACAAGGAGATACAGTTTGATATTTTACCTCCTTCAGTTGAAATCATGGATGTAACTGGAGTGAGTTTGATGGAGGCCTAATGCTTGCTTGAGCTTCCTTGAACTTCCCTGAATGTATTCCCACCCTTGCCTTGCTCTGAAAGTGCTTGAAACTCCTTGTCCAAGTCAACCTGCAAGCTTTGAAAACAAAAATGGCAGGTGATGGAGAAGTGGTTACAAAACAGGGATGAAGGCCTGGATTGGTTTGATATCAAGTCGGTAAGATGTTTTGATGATCAAGAATGGAAACGGACGAGCCAAATATGAGATTGGTATCCTTATGCCAAAACTGTAAGTTTGGACAATTTTCTGGTGTTTTTGAACTTTGGAGTGTTTCAGGCCTTTTCTAATCGTGTCATGTGTTGTATTGTGTTTGTATATTAGTATGGAGAAGATCCTAAGTCAGCTCTTCCACAGGTTTGTGAGTTATAGACTTTTGGCCACCTTTCTTGCTTTTGAAACAAAGTGACAAGACAAAGCTTTACATGCTTATACTGGCTTGCTTAGGGTTGGTATTTGTTATATACAAGTTGCCTTAGGTCTGTGGTACTTGTATGTGCCAAGGGGACAGGTTCAATGCTCAAGATTTGTAAAGTTTGCAAAAGTGGAACTTTTCCAAAATGGCAATGGTCACTTTATGCCATTTATGGAATTACAACTTGGATAATGGCTCTAGAGCATGGATCAAAGCTTTGTCAACTGAGTAAGCATTAAATTAAGGAGTGAGGAACAAGTTTGGGACCTGTAAAGCATGGATTAGGCAGCATAGGTACTGATTGGAACTTTGTTCTTCATGAAATGGCTTGGACAAAAAGTGAGAAATTGCCAACTTCATCTCTTCGATTCTCCCTACTCAAAAATAATCTTGAAGAGTTATTAGATATTTTGGGAAGATTGCAATGTGCTCTATAACTCATATTTGAAATGAATTTTGAGATACCTCTTTGAACTAGGTGAAAAATTGCCATTAGGTTGGGTCCAAAACCTGCCTAAATTAGGGCAAAATTTCACTAAGTTATTTAGTTCATGAGCATGTATTCATAAATTTATATCTTGAGATCCAAGCATATTTAGGGAAAAGTGTGTGAAGAAATGTTGTAGATTTCATGGAGGTCTACAACTTTCATGTTGGGAACTTTCTTTGAATCATTATGCATCATGGTGAAAAAATGGCTTAAAGTTGAGAAAAAAATAAGAAATTTTCTATACTTAGAGAATTTTCTAAGTTAAGAAAAATTTCAAATTCAAACCCTAATCTTCAAACTTGGATTTCTTGACGAACAAGTTTCACATTTTGACAAATTTTGATGAATTATGACCCTTGGCACTTGATTTTGACCAAAAAAGTCAAAGTTTGACTTTTCAGTGTACTGTTGACTTTTGATCAGTTGACTGCAAATTTCATCTGTCAATCCAATGAAATTGAAATATTTTGAGCCATGTAATTAGGTCAAGATGATGAAATTGAATCCTTGAAATCATGCTTCAAAACAATTGGTCATTTTCCAAGTTAAAAATCAGAAATTGCCCTTTCTCAGTCAAAACCCTAATTTTGACCATTTTGCCCTTTTGATGATTTGATCAAATTTCTTGAGGAATTGTAATCCAAACTTGATAAAATGATACATATGAGTCTATAATGTTGATGTGGATAAAAAATTATGAAGTTTAACTGTAAATTGGCCATGGTTGACTTTTTCCCCAATACAGTTGATTTTTAGGTCAACTGTCCAATTAGTTGAGCAAAAGTGTGATCTAAGGCTTGAAACTTGACATGAGTACTCTTGGGGTTCCATGATGATGTTTGAAAGTCACATGAAGCCTTGATAGTCCAAAAATCCTTGTGCAATCTCAAATCCTAATTTTGGATCATCAGTGCAAGATGATATGCCTTGAGCTGACTAAATCCTAATCCAGTCTTGAGTCAAAGAAACCTTGTGAGAAAAATCTTGATAAATGAGAGGGAAAATTTTAGGGTACAACACTAATAAACCTGTTTATACTTAGGCTAAGAAAATTTTGAAGGTCTAAAATTCAGGAGGAGCTTACAAATCTAACTCTGATTTTTAGTTGATTATTTATGAAGTAAAAATTGTTCATCAAAATACTTGTGTTTGTCATCTTCAAAAATAGGGAGATTGTTGGAACAAGTTTTACGAAAGTCTAACATTACTTCCTCCATAAGTAAGAATTTGGATCAAATGAATATGGTTGGAAATCACACTCTCTTGACTTCCTTTTCGTCTATGTCCGACTTCATCCTCTTAAAAGCTTTTGATGTTAACATTCGCCCCCTAGAGATTCTTTGGACTCCTAACATGGGTTGGATCAAATGTAACTGTGACAGTGCCTACACTCTTCTAATACCTCCGGTTGTGGTGGCATCTTCATAGATAGATCTAGGAATTTTTTGATGGCTTTTGCGGAGAATTTGAGATGGAATTCTTCCATTATTGCTAAATTTGATAATGTGTTACATGATATTGATATTGCTAAGTCTAAAAATTAGCTTAAGCTTTGGGTTAATATCGACTCACTATTGGTGGTCAAAGCTTTTGCCAAACCTTCTTTGGTTCTTTGGAGGCTTAGAAACAAGTGAAACTCTTACTGGGATGCTTCTAACAACACCGATATTGTTATTACTAGGGATGACAAAAAAAATCTGTATTCGTGGATACATGCGGGTAAAACCCGTCATGAGTACGAGTTGGATGGCTAAACTGGTATCCATGGATAAAATAAATAAATATTTTATTACTCGTTTCCTTACAGACACGATTATGAATTTGATGGTACCCGTACTCGCGAGTATCTGCATCCGTTAATAATTAACAAAATTACTTAAATATTAATTTGTTTAATCTAAAATTATTATTATTATTATTATTATTATTATTATTATTTAATTAAATGTGTAATTATTATTATTTTGTTAAATTTATTTGTTTAATAAACGAAGAAATAAAACGAATGTGATTCATTTTTGTTAGTATTATTATATGTGTTAAATTTGAAATTATTTTTTGTCTTTAAAAGGAATAAAAAATTTAATTAATTATATTATTTTTAAAACAAATATTTAAATAATACTCTCTATGAATACCCGTTAAATACTCGTGGCTATCTCAAAATTCACGAATATTTGTCTAACAGATATCCACATGTGTATGAGGTGGGTATGAGTATCATATTTATTAAACGAGATATATAGTGGGAGATTAGTATATGTGTCCATGAATACCCATTGTCATCCCTTTATTACGCATATTTATAGAGAAGGAAACTCTTGTGCAATTTTTTTTTGTCAATATTGATCTCATCATTAATTCCTTCACTTTTTGATTCCATCCGTTGTAGGATAAGAAATAATTTTGTAAAGAATATGTTAGGTATATCTTTCTTTAGGTTTTCTTATCCTTAATTGGGCTAACTTTGTTCCTTTTTTTAACTCCTTTTTCTTTTTATCAATATATTTGCCCTTTATAAGAAAAAAACGTACCAAAAATTTTAGAGCTGGCAAAACAGCTATCCGACCCACTTCTGACCGGCCCGTGACAAATCCAGGTCTTTAGTGGATCGCATCTAAAAACCTGTATTTAAACAGACTACAATTTAATTGTTTAAATTTGATCCTTTAAAAACTATAATTATTCAAACAGACAAAATAATATTTAATATTAATTTTTTTATTAAAAAATAACTTTTAAATAAATTAATAAATTAATTAATATACCATAAACTAAAAAGTTAAAGCATATATGAATATTAATCACTAGAAAAATATAAATTAATATTATTCATGACATCTAAGGTAAAATATCATAACAATAAATTATTTTAATAAAATAATTCATATTTAATTTGAGACATTAATAGTATAATGTATTACAATTTTTATTAAAATGGACATTAATAATACAAATATTATAAAATAGATATTTGTATTTTTGTTAAAAAATAATATAAACATTAATAATAGTATAATATATTATAATTTTTATAAATAAAAAATTAAGTTAAATAAGTGGACTACCCAATTAAACATTAGATTTTTAACGGGTTGGACTTTTAACTGGTTGTTCCGGCCCGTTCTGCCGGCTCTATATAATACTAAAAAAGCGATTACACAACACAACGCTCTAATTTCTTGTTCTACAAGTCTCAGTCACTTCCTCTTCTTTCACTCATAAACCCTAGAAGGAAGAAGAACGATCTTAAACCGTTCCAAAATCTTCATCATTAATACCTTTACAGTTTATTCAATTTGTGAAGCTTGAAGTTCTGTTACGATTCAATGTGGAACAACGGCCAGATTGTGCCACCTGGAACTACCGTTCCTTCGATTCCTCCTCCCCAGGCTTCGCAGCCATCATACACGCAGGTGGAGACCGAGGTTGATGCCGAAGCACGGCTTGAAGAGAAGGCTAGAAAATTGCAGCAGCTTAACTCTAAGAGGTACAGCGATAAGAGGAAGTTCGGGTTTGTTGAAACTAAGAAAGAGGATATGCCTCCGGAACACGTCAGGAAAATTATCAGAGATCATGGTGACATGTCCTCAAAGAATTTGCGTCGTGACAAACGTGTTTATCTCGGAGCACTCAAGTTTATACCTCATGCGGTTTATAAGCTCCTGGAAAATATGCCAATGCCTTGGGAGCAGGTTCGAGATGTGAGGGTCTTGTACCATATTTCTGGTGCTATCACGTTTGTCAATGAAATACCGTGGGTTGTTGAGCCTATTTATCTTGCTCAGTGGGGTACAATGTGGATAATGATGAGAAGATAGAAAAGGGATCGTCTTCATTTTAAGAGGATGAGGTTTCCCCCATTTGATGACGAGGAGCCTCCGCTTGACTATGCGGATAATCTTTTAGACGTTGATCCTCTAGAGCCGATTCAGCTGGAGCTTGACCAAGGGGACGATTCTGCAGTATATACTTGGTTTTATGATCATAAGCCTCATGTGAAAACAAAGCTTATTAATGGTCCTAGTTACTGCAAATGGCATCTTTCCCTTCCTATAATGGCAACTTTGCATCGTCTTGCTGGACAGCTTCTGTCTGATCTAAGTGATAGAAATTAATTCTACTTGTTTGACATGGAATCCTTTTTTACAGCCAAGGCTTTGAACATGTGCATACCTTGTGGTCCTAAATTTGAGCCCCTCTACCGTGACACGGAGAAAGGAGATGAAGACTGGAATGAGTTTAATGACATCAACAAACTCATTATAAGGTCGTCACTTCGGACAGAATATAGAATTGCTTTTCCCCATCTTTATAACAACAGGCCTCGTAAAGTAAGGCTTTGTATTTACCATACTCCCATGGTTATGTACATAAAAACTGAAGATCCAGACCTACCTGCATTTTAATATGATCCCTTAATACACCCAATAAGCGGTGCTAACAAAGAGCAGTGCAAGAAGAAAATATATGACGAGGATGATGACTGGATCTTGCCAGATGGTGTGGAACCTTTTCTTAAAGATACACAACTTTATACTGACACCACAGCTGCTGGAATCTCCTTGATTTTTGCTTCCCGTCCTTTTAACATGAGATCTGGGCGCATGAGACGAGCAGAAGACATTCCTCTTGTGTCAGAATGGTACAAGGAGCATTGTCCTCCATCATATCCAGTTAAAGTCCGGGTTAGTTATCAAAAGTTGCTCAAGTGTTTTGTCTTGAATGAGCTGCATCATAGATCTCCTGAGGCTCAAAAAAAGAAGAACTTATTCAGATCACTTCAAGCGACAAAGTTTTTCCAGACTACAGAACTTGATTGGGTTGAAGCAGGTCTTCAAGTTTGTCGGCAGGGGTACAACATGTTAAATCTATTGATACACAGGAAAAATTTGAACTACCTTCACCTTGATTATAATTTTAATTTGAAGCCTGTCAAAACCGTGACTACAAAAGAACGTAAGAAATCACAATTTGGTAATGCTTTTCATCTTTGTCGTGAGATCCTTCGTTTGACGAAACTTGTGGTGGATTCTAATGTTTAGTTCCGTTTGGGTAATGTTGATGCTTTCCAACTGGCGGATGGCCTCCAATATACTTTCTCTCATGTTGGTCAATTGACCGGTATGTATCGGTACAAATGTAGGCTTATGAGGCAAATTAGAATGTGCAAGGACTTGAAGCACTTGATTTACTACCGCTTTAACACTGGTGCTGTTGGGAAAGGCCCAGGTTGTGGGTTTTGGGCACCAATGTGGAGGGTTTGGTTATTCTTTCTTCGTGGTATTCTGCCCCTTCTTGAACGGTGGCTTGGAAATTTACTGGCCCGGCAGTTTGAGGGACGCCACTCCAAAGGAGTGGCGAAGACAGTCACCAAGCAACGTGTTGAGAGTCATTTTGACTTAGAACTCCAAGCAGCTGTTATGCATGATGTGCTTGATGTGCTTGATGCCAGGCCAGAGGGTATTAAGCAGAATATGACAAAAAACATATTGCAGCACTTGAGTGAAGCTTGGAGTTGTTGGAAAGCAAATATTCCTTGGAAGGTTTCTTCTCTGCCTGTTCCCGTAGAGAACATGGTCCTTCGATATGTGAAATCAAAAGCAGATTGGTGGACAAATGTTGCTCATTATAATCGTGAGCGTATAAGAGGTGCAACTGTTGATAAGACTGTTTGTCGCAAGAATCTTGGAAGATTGACACGTCTTTGGCTGAAAGCAGAGCAGGAGCACCAACATAATTATTTGAAAGATGGCCCATATGTTACTCCTGAAGAAGCTGTTGCTATCTATACAACGACAGTCCATTGGTTGGAATCTAGGAAGTTCTCACCTATTCCATTTCCACCTCTATCATACAAACATGATACAAAGTTGCTTATCCTTGCACTTGAGAGGTTGAAGGAATCCTACAGTGTTGCAGTAAGATTAAATCAACTTCAAAGAGAAGAGTTGGGGCTAATTGAACAACCTTATGACAATCCACACGAGGCATTATCGAGAATCAAGCGACACCTACTCACCCAACGTGCCTTCAAAGAAGTTAGAATAGAGTTTATGGACTTGTATAGCTACTTGATTCCTGTGTACGAAATAGAGCCTCTTGAGAAGATTACAGATGCATATCTTGATCAATATTTGTGGTATGAAGGTGACAAACGTCATCTCTTTCCCAACTGGATCAAGCCAGCAGATTCAGAGCCACCGCCTCTTTTGGTTTACAAATGGTGTCAAGGTATAAACAATTTGCAAGGTATCTGGGACACTGGTGATAGTCAGTGTGTTGTGATGCTGCAGACCAAGTTTGAGAAGTTTTTCGAGAAGATTGATTTAACAATGTCAAATAGGCTTCTCCGTTTGGTTCTAGACCACAACATCGCTGATTATGTCGCTGCAAAAAACAATGTAGTCTTGTCATATAAGGATATGAGCCACACAAACTCACATGGTCTTATACGTGGACTACAGTTTGCATCCTTTGTTGTTCAATATTATGGTCTGGTATTGGATCTTTTGCTTCTTGGATTGACTCGAGCAAGTGAGATTGCTGTGCCACTGCAGATGCCTAATGAGTTTATTACTTATTGGGACACCAAAGTTGAGACAAGGAATCCAATCAGGCTGTATTCTCGGTATATTGACCGAGTTCACATATTATTTCGCTTCATACACGAGGAGGCTCGTGATCTTATTCAGCGATATCTCACTGAGCACCCTGATCCTAACAATGAAAACATGGTGGGGTACAATAATAAGAAATGTTGGGCAAGAGGTGCAAGAATGAGGCTCATGAAACATGATGTCAATCTTGGGAGGAGTGTCTTTTGGGATATGAAAAACCATCTTCCTCAAAGCATCACAACTCTGGAATGGGAAAACAGCTTTGTTTCTGTTTACAGCAAAGATAATCCGAGCTTGCTTTTTAGCATGTGTGGATTTGAAGTGAGGATACTTCCTAAAATTAGAGTGACTCAAGAAGCATTCAGCAACACAAGAGGTGGTGTCTGGAATCTCCAGAATGAACAGACAAAAGAAAGGACAGCTGTTGCTTTCTTAAGAGTTGATGGTAAACACATGAAAGTTTTTGAGAACTGTGTGAGGCAGATTCTTCTGTCATCGGGTTCTACTACATTCACAAAAATTGTCAATAAGTGGAACACAGCTTTAATAGGTCTCATGACTTACTTCCGGGAGGCAACTGTACATACTCAAGAGTTGTTAGATTTGCTTGTCAAATGTGAAAATAAAATTCAGACTATTAAGATTGGCCTCAATTCAAAGATGCCTAGCAGATTTCCACCAGTCATTTTCTACACCCCCAAAGAAATTGGAGGACTTGGAATGTTGTCTATGGGTCACATTTTGATTCCACAAAGTGATCTAAGGTACAGTCAGCAGACAGACGTTGGTGTGACCCACTTCAAAAGTGGGATGAGTCACGAGGAAGACCAGCTGATTCCCAATCTTTATCGCTATATACAGCCTTGGGAGAGTGAGTTCGTAGATTCACAGCGCGTCTGGGCTGAATACGCATTGAAAAGGCAGGAAGCACAAGCACAAAATGCACGATTGACTCTTGAGGATTTGGAAGACTCTTGGGACAGAGGAACACCACGTATTAACACTTTGTTTCAGAAGGATAGACACACTTTAGCTTATGATAAAGGATGGAGGGTACGTACAGACTTCAAGCAGTATCTGTTATGTTATTATTAATATTGTTATTAATTGTTATTTGCTATATGTAACTGACTTAGTCTCTATTGATCGTGAGAGGATCATGGTTGTTAGTTTTAATTAAACCTAAATTGTAGGGAGTCAAGTATGACTTAGTGGCCCTGATTCTTAGGAAGCATTCAGTTCAGTTTTCCTTTTTGTAAGCTATTTATATAGCAGTATTTCATTTTAATAAACATCAGTTACCAGATTTGCTAACATCTGGTATCAGAGCGAGAAAGACCTCAAAAGTGTGAGGGATCCAAAAGTGTGAGAGTACCACAAAATAGAGTGTTTGGGGTATGGGATCCGAAGAGAAGAATGGTGGATTTTCTGTACCCTCCATTCCCAGATTCGATGGAGATTACGATCATTGGAAGATGGTCATGGAAAATCTCTTGAGATCCAGAGAATATTGGCCCGTGGTGGAGAACGGTTACATGTTGCCCAAAGAAGGAGAATTGCAGACAGATACGCAAAGGAAGACCCTGGATGATTTGAAACTTAAGGATTTGAAGGCGAAGAATTACTTGTTCCAATCCTTGGACAAATCAATTCTGAGAACCATCACCAAGAAGGACACTTCCAAGCAGTTGTGGGACTCCATGAAGATGAAGTACCAAGGAAATGATCGGGTTCGACGTGCTCAGCTCAATCGACTCCGACGAGAATTCGAGGTGTTGGCTATGAAACAAGGGGAGTCAGTCAATGACTACTTTGGAAGGGTGATGACCATAGCCAATGACATGCGAAATTGCGGTGAAGACATGACAGATGTCAAAATCGTAGAGAAAATTTTGCGAACACTGACGGAGAAATGGAATTACATTGTGTGTTCCATTGAGGAAGCTAATGATGTTGATGAGCTCACAGTTGATGCCTTGCAAAGTTCCCTCTTGGTCCATGAACAAAAGTTCAAGAGGGAACCAGATGAAGAACAAGCACTGACGGTTTCTTATGGTAACACTGGTGGTCGAGGACGAGGGAGAAACAGCTTCAGAGGAGGAAGAAGTCATGGACGAGGCCGTCAAAGCTACAATAAAGCAACAATTGAATGTTACAAATGCCACCGATTAGGGCATTTTCAATATGAATGCCCTAATCTCGAGAAGACGGTTAATTATGCTGAGATGAGCAAGGATGAAGAGATGCTTCTTATGGCTTATATTGAAGCATCAGGGGAAAAAGGAGAGACTGCATGGTTCTTAGACAGCGGATGCAGCAACCACATGAGCGGAGACATCTCTCTCTTTTGTACCATGGAGGAAGGGTTCAAAAGAGAAGTCAGTCTAGGGAACCATATGAGGATGAAGGTTGTGGGCAAAGGGAGTGTTAGGTTAAATCTTGGCGGTGTTTGTTATGTTGTTCAAGAAGTGTTCTATATTCCAGAATTGAAGAACAATTTACTAAGTATCGGACAGTTGCAGGAGAAAGGCTTGGCCTTTCTAATCAAGAACAATGAGTGCAAAATCTATCATCCATTAAAGGGTCTTATCCTTGAAAGCAGAATGACACTCAACAGAATGTTCATATTGCTCTCGAAGACCTCCTCGGCTACCAATGAGTCAGGTGAATGCTGCTTCCAAACTGACATCCAAGAAATTGCTCATCTATGGCACTGCAGGTATGGCCACCTTAGCTATACTGGACTTCAAACTTTGACAAGCAACAACATGGTTAAAGGCTTGCCAAATCTTGGAGAAATCATTGCTGCTAGAGAAACTACTGCTGTATGCACTGAGTGTTTGAAAGGAAAACAACACAGGGAGATCATACCAAGAAAATCCATGTGGAGAGCTGAAGCCCGATTGGAGCTTATACATGCCGACATATGTGGTCCCATCTCGCCAATGTCACATGGTCAAAAAAGGTACCTCATCTGTTTCATTGACGACTTTAGTAGGAAGGCTTGGGTGTATTTTATTGCTTATAAGAGTGATGCATTTTCTACATTCAAGCAATTTAAAAGTCGGGTAGAAAGGGAGTCCGGTTTATTTGTGAAATGCTTGAGAACTGATCGTGGAGGCGAGTTCACCTCACACGAGTTTACTGATTATTGTAGACAAGAAGGGATAAAAAGACAGCTCACCACAGCCTACACGCCACAACAAAACGGAGTTGCCGAAAGGAAAAACCGAACTGTCATGAACATGGCCAGAAGTTTACTTGCCGAGAAGGAAGTGCCTAAGATTTTCTGGCCTGAAGCGGTTAATTGGGCATTCCATGTACTTAACAGGAGCCCCACCTCTGCCGTAAAAGGAATGACTCCTGAAGAGGCCTGGTCTGGAGTGAAGCCCACAGTCGAGCACTTCAGAGTTTTTGGTTGCATTGCTCATGTCCACATTCCAGATGCTCGAAGAGTCAAGCTTGACGACAAGAGCACTAAATGTGTTTTATTTGGAGTAAGTGCTGAGTCGAAAGGATATAGGTTATATGATCCCATTAAAAGAAAGATCATTGTTAGCAGGGATGTCGTGTTCGAAGAAAATAAGAAATGGGATTGGAATACAAGTCACTCAGAATTTAACAAAGATCAGCTTGATTGTGGAGATATGGATACTACTATTGTTGACCAAGAGAGTGATACAGTGACACCACAAGATCAATCAGAGCATGAAGAAGCCATCGAGTACAGTGGAGATACAAGTCACTCAACAGCTGAGAATGAGGAGCTTGAGAATGCAGCTGGGACTGAGATTGCTACTGAGGATGATAATGTAGTAGCTACAACAAAAAAATCTGCAGCAGTGGGCCAACGTAGCAGAAGAGCTCCAAGGTGGATGGAGGATTATGTGGTGAACTCTGTTGTTTCAAACTCTGATGTGGCAGCATGTATTAACCCCCAATCCTTTGAGGAAGCTGTTCTAAATACCAACTGGAAGAAAGCCATGGATGCTGAAATTCAGTCCATTGAAAAGAATGGAACCTGGACTCTAGTTGAATTACCAAAGGGAGTCGCAAGCATAGGGGTTAAATGGGTGTATAAAACAAAATTGAATCAACATGGTGAGATTGACAAGTATAAGGCTCGCTTAGTAGCAAAGGGATATGCGCAACAACACGGAATTGATTATGAAGAAGTATACGCGCCAGTGGCAAGGCTAGACACTATGCGTATGATCTTGGCTCTTGCTGCGCAACGAAGTTGGGTTGTGTATCAGCTCGACGTGAAGTCCGCATTCTTACAAGGTGAACTTACAGAGGAGGTGTATGTTGATCAACCAAAAGGATATGAAGTGAAGCATGAGACGACTAAGGTATACAAGCTCCAGAAAGCTTTATACGGCCTTAAACAAGCACCGAGAGCTTGGTTTAGCAGAATTGAAGCATACTTCAGAAACATGGGCTTTGATAAAGAAGCAAGCGAACAAACCTTGTTCACCAAGATCAATCAACAAGGGAAGCATTTGATTGTTAGCCTATATGTTGATGATTTTATTTATACTGGGAATGATAAAGCTATGTTGAAAGAATTCAAACAATCAATGATGGAGGAATTTGAAATGACTGATCTGGGAAGAATGCACTTCTTCCTTGGCTTAGAGGTTATGCAGATTGACAGTGGAATCTTCATCTCTCAAAAGAGATATGCCAAAGAGGTCTTGAAGAAGTTTGGAATGGATAAAAGCAACTTGGTCCTAAATCCTACTGTTCCTGGGGTTAAAATTGATAAAGATGATACAGGTGTGACAGTAAACAGCTCCATGTTCAAGCAACTTGTTGGTAGCTTGATATATTTAACCACTACCAGGCCGGATCTGATGTATGCAGTTAGTGTAGTCAGTAGATATATGGCCAAGCCAACTGAGATGCATCTTATGGCAGCAAAGAGAATACTGAGGTATGTGCAGGGAACTATGTGTTTTGGGATTTTCTATCAAAGATCAGGCAATCAGGAGCTTGTGGGATACACAGACAGCGACTATGCCGGATGTATCGATGACAGGAAAAGCACCTCGGGCTATGCCTTTATACTTAGCAATGCAGCGGTGGCATGGTCATCAAGGAAACAGCCTATAGTCACACTCAGCACCACCGAAGCAGAATTCGTAGCTGCGTCAGCTTGTGCCTGCCAACTGATTTGGATGAAGAGGGTGATGTCCAAGTTGGACTACAATGGAAGCAAAAGTCCAGTGATTTTTTGTGATAACAGTTCTACCATCAAGCTCTCAAAGAACCCGGTTATGCATGGTAAGAGCAAACATATTGATGTGCGCTTTCACTTCCTCCGTGATTTAGTAAATGAAGGAAAGGTTCAATTGAATTATTGCGGCACCAAACAGCAGATAGCTGATATCTTTACTAAGCCGCTCAAGCTTGAAGTCTTTCAAGAGCTCAGGAAGAAGCTTGGCGTATGTGACATCTCAGAGATAAACTAGACAGTCTAGTTTAGGGGGAGAATTGTTATGTTATTATTAATATTGTTATTAATTGTTATTTGCTATATGTAACTGACTTAGTCTCTATTGATCGTGAGAGGATCATGGTTGTTAGTTTTAATTAAGCCTAAATTGTAGGGAGTCAAGTATGACTTAGTGGCCCTGATTCTTAGGAAGCATTCAGTTCAGTTTTCCTTTTTGTAAGCTATTTATATAGCAGTATTTCATTCTAATAAACATCAGTTACCAGATTTGCTAACAGTATCAAGTTTTAAAACAAAATCCCTTCTGGTGGACACACCAGAGGCACGAGGGGAAGTTGTGGAATTTGAATAATTACCGAACTGATGTTATTCAAGCTCTTGGAGGAGTTGAAGGAATTCTTGAACATACTTTATTCAAAGGAACATATTTTCCTACCTGGGAAGGTCTCTTCTGGGAAAAGGCATCAGGTTTTGAGGAATCTATGAAGTATAAGAAGCTCACCAATGCACAGAGATCTGGTCTCAACCAGATACCCAACCGTAGATTTACACTTTGGTGGTCACCAACCATTAACCGAGCCAATGTTTATGTTGGTTTCCAAGTGCAGCTAGATCTGACCGGCATTTTCATGCACGGGAAAATTCCAACTCTGAAGATATCTCTGATTCAGATATTCAGAGCTCATTTGTGGCAGAAGATCCACGAGAGTGTTGTCATGGATCTTTGTCAGGTTTTGGATCAAGAGTTGGACGCTTTGGAGATTGAAACTGTCCAGAAGGAGACAATCCATCCTAGGAAGAGTTACAAAATGAACAGTTCTTGTGCAGACATCCTTTTCTTTGCTGCCTACAGATGGCCAATGTCAAAGCCTAGTCTTGTAGCTGAATCCAATGATGTTTTTGATCAGAAGGCTAACAATAAGTATTGGATTGATGTTCAGCTTCGGTGGGGTGATTATGATTCTCACGATATTGAGCGTTACACCAGGGCGAAATTTATGGATCACACAACAGATAATATGTCTATATACCCATCTCATACGGGGGTTATGATTGGCATTGACTTGGCATATAACTTGCATTCTGCATTTGGGAACTGGTTCCCTGGATCAAAGCCATTACTTCAGCAGGTCATGAATAAGATTATGAAGTCAAATCCTGCTTTGTGTATTTTAAGGGAGCGAATCAGGAAAAGTTTGCAGTTGTATTCTTCTGAGCCAACTGAACCATATTTGTCCTCTCAAAACTACCGAGAGATATTCAGCAACCAAATCATATGGCTTGTTGATGACAGTAATGTGTGCCGTGTTACATCTCACAAGACTTTTGAAGGAAATCGTACAATGAAACCCATTAATGGTGCCATTTTTATTTTTAATCCAAGGACTGGGCAGTTGTTTCTAAAGGTTATTCATACAAGTGTGTGGGCTGGTCAGAAGCGTCTTGGCCAATTGATTAAGTGGAAAACAGCAGAAGAAGTTGCAACTCTTGTAAGGTCTTTGCCTGTAGAAGAGCAGCCAAAGCAAATTATTGTTACCTGTAAAGGAATGTTGGATCCATTGGAGGTTCACTTGCTGGATTTCCCCAATACTGCTGGATTTCGGGATCTTATTTTGAAGGCCACAGAACCACAAATGGTCTTGTTCAACATTTATGATTGTAGAGAAGGGATTTGAATTGATGATTATGTGTTAATGTGGTAAACAATTACACGAATATATACAACAAAGAATTGAGAAACTGAATGCTAATAATAAGGAGTGGAACTAACAATCAATACCTATTCCACTAACGTTACTGGCATGAAAGTAGGAAACTAATTACTGACCTATTCCACTAATGTTACTTGGCAGGAAAGTAGGAAACTAATTACTAACTACTTATTACCCCCCAGCAAGCTGATGATTCGGAAGAACGCGAAGCTTGGAACAAAGAAAAGAAACTCTATCTTTGGAAAGTGGTTTGGTGAATATATCGGCTAGCTGATCAACGGATGATACGTGGCCAATTTTGAGAATACCGGAATCAACCTGGTCACGAAGGAAGTGAAAATCTAGCGCAATATGCTTGGACCGTGTGCTGATAACTGGGTTCTTGGACAAGAAAATTGCACCAACATTGTCACAGAGAAGCAACGGAGGACCAGTAATAGGCACATGAAGCTCAGAAGCAAGAAGATTGAGCCAAAGCAGTTCGGCGGCGGTGTATGCCAAGGATCAATATTCCGCCTCAGTGCTTGAGCGAGCAACAACCCTCTGTTTGCGAGAAGTCCAGTTGATGAGATTAGATCCATGGAAGATTGCATATCCAAACTGAGAGCGGCTGTCGTCCGAATCCGAGATCCAACCCGCGTCTGAATATGCTAAAAAAGAAGTTGCTTGAGTTGGGATGAAGTGGAGAGAGTGTGACAGAGTACCAGCAAGATAGCGAAGTATTCTTTTGACAGCACGCCAGTGATCAAGTGTCGGGGAATGCATAAATTGACAAACGTGATTCACCGCATACGTAATATCAGGCCGGGTGATTGTAGCGTACTGGAGAGAACCGACAGTGCGTCTGTATAAGGCTGGATCATCAAATGGTTCACCCGCCTTGACTAGACGATGTTGTGGGTCAGCAGGTGTTGTTATAGGAGCAGCAGCAGACATGTTGGTGGACTCCAGAATATCTCTAACATAACCTTCTTGAGTGAGTTGTACCCCAGAACTAGTACGTGTGATTTGAAGACCGAGGAAATAATGCAAGTCTCCCTGATCCTTTAAAGCAAACACCTTGTTAAGATTAATGATAAAGTTATTAATCAAACCTGAATCTGTGCCGGTAATGAGCAGATCGTCTACATATACAAGGATGTAGATTGTTGCAGCAGCAGAATGATGAACAAACAAGGATGTGTCGGATTGACAAGCCCGAAAGCCCTGTGTGATAAGGTAATGCTTAAGCTTGGTAAACCAAGCTCTGGGTGCTTGTTTGAGCCCGTAAAGAGCCTTCCGCAATTGACAGACATGATCAGGTTGATGAGAATCCTCAAAACCCTTTGGTTGACGCATATAGACAACCTCGGAGAGCTCACCATTCAAGAATGCATTGTTGATGTCCAATTGCCGAAGACACCATTGGTTGGATAAGGCAATGGACAAGACAAGTCGAATGGTTGTTGACTTAACCACTGGGCTGAACGTCTCAAAGAAGTCTTTACCTGCTTGCTGACTAAAACCTTGTGCCACCAAACGAGCTTTGTGACGCTCGATACTCCCGTCGGATTTGCGCTGTGTCCTGTAAATCCACTTACAACCCACAACATTAACATTAGTAGGACAAGGGACAAGAGACCAAGTACCATTTTTCACAAGGGCATTATATTTTACAGTCATGGCATCTTGCCAATGTTTATGTTTGACGGCTTGTTTGTATGTACGAGGATCAGGTTCAGGTTTAAGAGTGGCAGCTAGGATTTTTGGTTTGAGAGAGCCGGTTTGGGCTCGTGCGGTCATGGGGTGAGTGGAAGATTGGGCTGGTTTGTAGTATGAAGGAACATGTTGTTGATGTTGTTGTGGGGCCGGCGGAGAAGTGGGATGAATTGTGAGTGAGGGCTGAATTGTTGGTTGAATTGTAGGTGCAGTTTGGAACGTGGCCGAAGGTGTGGGCAGCCCAGCAGCTTGCTCTAACAAATCAGAATTTAATTCTGGAGAAGCATGAGTAGATAAGTTAGACGCCGAATTATGTAAAGAAACAGAATATGGGAATATATGCTCATTAAAAACAACATGCCTTGCAACATATATACGCTCAGTAGGTATATGAAAACAGAGATATCCTTTGTGAGAAGTACTGTAACCAATAAACACACATGGAAGAGAACGAAAATCAATTTTGTGGTTGTTATATGGACGAAGAAAAGGATAGCGAAGACATCCAAAGGTTTTGAGAAAACCATAATTTGGATCTTTGTGATATAATTGTTGATATGGAGAATGGTAGTGTAAGGTGGGGGTAATGGTTCTATTGTGGAGATAAGTTGCAGTTTTGAAAGCATGTTCCCAAAATTTGTGAGGTAAAGATGATTGAGCCAAAAGAGTGAGGCCTTTTTCAATGATGATACGATTGTGTCGTTCAACCGCCCCGTTTTGCTCTTGTGTGTATGGACATGTAATACGGTGAGAAATACCGTGTTGTTTAAAAAAAATAGAGACATTGCAAAATTCACCCCCCAATCGGATTGGAGATGTTTGATTTTTGCATTGAATTGTGTTTCAATCATAGTACGAAATTGCACAAAAGTAGTGAAAACCTGTGATTTGTGCGATAGAAAATAAATCCACACATATTTGGTGCAATCATCAATAAACAAAACGAAATACCGATTTCCATTGATTGAAAATTTGGGAGATGGACCCCATACATCAGAGTAAATCAGTTCAAAAGGAGTAGACGACGCAATATGAGATGATGCTAAAGGAAATCGATGGCTCTTTCCAAGTTGACAAGAGTCACAGACATTGGGAAATTTATTTGAAGAAATTGGTAAATTAAATGAGGAAATAAGACGACGCAATAGAGGTTCATGAGGATGGGTAAGCCGCTGGTGCCAGCCGTGGACAGACGTACGGATGCCGGTGAGAGCCAGGGTTGGTCGAGCTTTATTGTGAATGGAGTTAATGCAGTAGAGGCCGTTGTTAATGCCCCCTCGGAGTATAGTTTGACCCTGAAAGGTTTTGACAAGACAATGAGAAGGCCAAAATTCTATATAAACCTTATTATCCTTTGTAAATTTGGATACACTGAGAAGGCTTTTTGTGAGTTTAGGAACAATGAGAACATTAGGCAAGCGCAAATTATGTAAAGTAGAATTGCCAATGTGAGAAATAGATAAAAGGTTACCATTGCCCACTTGCAACTTGTCATTGCCTTTGTAGTCATCAGAGATGGTCAGCTTCTGAAAATCTGGAGAAGCATGATCAGTGGCACCGATGTCGAAATACCAAGAAGGATCGATGGCACTTGAAGACGGAGCCTGAGGAGCATAATGAGCCTGCTTTGATGTATTGCGTGGGTTGGGCTTGCGCGAGGGAAAATCAATCTGATTATCACGCTGCCAACAATCAACAGCCTCGTGACCTGGACGCCCACATAATTGGCACTGGGGGCGGCGACGGTGGAACTCACCACCGTTTGCTGCACGAGTGTCGCCTCTAGAGTCGCTCCTGGAATCCCCGCGAGAATAGGCGCCACCAGAATTGTTGGTATTGTATGACCGGCCAGATTGCCGACTGGCGACGTGGGCAGAAGAGATTGGTGCTGGAGATGAAGGAGCCAAGGGAGCGATGGTGGATTGGCGAGCCAGTTCGTGAGCGAGTCGTGCTTCCTCCTGAAGCAATTTTCCCACCAGATCGTCAATAGAAGCATCATCACTGTGGATCATGAATGCAGTGGCGAAGGCGCCGTAAGAGCTATCTAGCCCAGAGAGGATGTGACCGATTAGGTCCTCATCAGAAACAGGGTGCAGGTTTGCAGCGAGGGAGTCAGCAATTGAGCGTTTTCGCTCGACGTACTCCATGATAGAGAGAGACCCCTTAGGTAGGGATTGTAATTGCAATTTCAGCGACATCCGCCGAGCACGAGTCTGCGCCTGGAAAATTTTCTCGAGTGCTGTCCAGGCCATGTGGGAGGTGGTGATACGAGCAACGATGGTGAGCGCCCTGTCGGAGAGATATTTTAGCCACAGCAGAACCAACCTATCGCGACTCTTCCAGGCGAGATATTCAGGGTTGGGTTCTTGGGTGATTGTTCCATTGTCAGCAGCAATGGAGCGAGTTTGTGGCGGTGGATTTGGTGCCAGTAAATAAGACTCAAGATCAAAGGTTTCGAGAGCAGAGATGATAGTGGTTTTCCAAAGGCAATGATTTTCATTGTCAAGAGTGATTTTGATTGGAGGAAGTTGAAAATTGATCTGGGAAGATGATGAATTGGCTAGGGCCAGTAGGTGGGAGATATTGCCAGCCATGGGAGTGAATGTGGTTTGAAAAAAAAATTTAATTCAACCTAAAGCTCTGGATACCATGTAGAGAAGGGATTTGAATTGATGATTATGTGTTAATGTGGTAAACAATTACACGAATATATACAGCAAAGAATTGAGAAACTGAATGCTAATAATAAGGAGTGGAACTAACAATCAATACCTATTCCACTAACGTTACTGGCATGAAAGTAGGAAACTAATTACTGACCTATTCCACTAATGTTACTTGGCAGGAAAGTAGGAAACTAATTACTAACTACTTATTAATGATGACTGGTTGAAGAGCATTTCCTCATACACTGCATTCTCCAGGTTGATTTTGATTCTGCGTGCACTTCATGTGAATAATGAAAAGGCAAAGATGTTATTGAAGCTGGACAAAACTATTGTCACTGAACCTCATCATATATGGCCTTCTCTAAGTGATGACCAATGGATGAAAATATATTTTTGATTGAAAAAATCATTTAGTTTCAGATTGCTCATGTGAGAAATATTAACTATCTTACTTCACTATATAAGGAGTGCACGTATTTCATTCCAAATTACACCAAAAACTATTCTATTAATTTTTCCTTCCACACTCTCATAACCCTGCGTCTCTCGAATTGTCGAAGCGCCATCTTCTTCCCCTTTCTTCCTACTCGTTGAATT